GTAAAAATAACATAGAATTTTATATAATTTAATATAAAAAAGTTACATATTTTTTATGTATTAAATATTTCCTGATGTAGGAGAAATAATGGTAATATGATAATAATAGTAGTAATAATAATAATACCGGAAAGCTTAGTACCATCTGAGGATTTTTTCATCAACTGGGGTTTATTACAAAGAAAAGGAATAGTAGTATGTTATTTGTCTAGTGAATTATCTGATAAAAAAATTATTCAAACTCTTAGCCGGTTAAGGTATTTTTTATTGGCTGACATCACTAATTTTTGGTAGAAATGTTTGTTCCAAAAATGCAATAATCAAATTGAATGATTTTTACTAAATGTACTTCCAATCTTGATTGATGAGAGAAATATATCCCAATCACAAAAATGCGCATCTAATATTTGATATTATTTGTTGGATAGACGTGATATTTTTCGCGAAAATTTAGTTTGTCTTTAAACAATAAAATTTATCGATAGTGATCTATGATATTTTACAATGCTATACAAACAGTTTAATTACCTTTTTTTTTAATTATTTTTTTAGATAATTGTATATACAATAAATTAATGATTTTTTAAATAAATAACAACAAAAAGAAATGTTCCTATTTAAATAGTACCATATTTTCCTGAGAACAAGCAACAATTTTTTAACTGGAAAGTTACTTATTCCTAGAGGTTTTATTATAAAAAATAAAAATCTTTTAATGTTGCCCATTCCCAAGGTACCTGCGATTCTTTTAATAAAATTCTTTTCTGTAAACAATGTCGTTGATGTGGTGATTAAGTTTTTAGAAGTTCCCCCTATTTGTGCATCTATTCCTGTGGTTCTTTTAATAGAATTCTTTTCTGTGAACAATGTCATTGATGTGTTGATTGAGTTTTTAGAAGTTCCTCCTATTTGCGCATCTATTCCGAAGTTACCTATGATTCTTTTAATAAAATTTTTAAAATTCTTTTCTGTAAATAATGCCGTTGATGTGGTGTTTAAGTTTTTAAAAGTTCTTCCTATTTGTGTATCTATTCTCAGGGTACCAGTGATTCTTTTAATAAAATTCTTAAAATTCTCTTTTGTAATCAATATCGTTGATATGGTGTTTAATTTTTTAGAACTTCCCCCCATTTGCACATGATCAGCGGAATATAATCCATCAAATCCCAACCCCAGTCCAGCTATAAATTAAAATTAATAAATTAGAATAAAATCATAAAATTTAATTAGTAGATAAATGAACAAACTAATTAATTTAAATTTCTTACCTCTAGCAACAACAGCTGATGATATACATAAATTACCAATTGTTGAATCATGCGCTGGGCTTATTGAATTAATTTTTAAAAATTGACATTTATTTGATGTTGTATTGTTTTTATATTCATTGCTACCAATCATTTTTCTTTTTGATTCGGCCGATTTGATAGTCTTTTTGTAGTATTTATTATTTGCACGCAAATAATTCACAATTTGACTTGCAGTTGGTCTTTTCTTGGGATCAGAATCCCAGCATTGTTTCATCAAATTGGCATAAAAAATTGGTGTATCGCTGGTTATATCTGGTCTTTTTCCTTCAACAATTTCAATCGCAAGGTCAGTATTATGTGATCTATCATCAAATGGCTCCTTACCAGAAGTATAAACCCACATTATCATCCCAAAGCTATATACATCAGATTCTTTCGTATATGGTTTTCCAGATAATACCTCAGGAGCCAAGTATGGAATAACACCATAAACTTCATTGTTTTCTTTGACTGGTTCACATAATCCTAAATCTGCTATTTTGCTTTTCTTTTTCTCGTCTATCAAAATATTGCGGCTATGCAAGTCATGATGCACAAAATTTTTAGAATGAATTTTTTTTAACCTGATGAAAAGTAAAAATTTATTAGTTTATCATTTAGAAAGATTACAAAATCACAAAAATCAAAAAATTAAATTTACCCAATCGAAATATTCAAAACTGATGCTAATTTTTTTTTCCAGGAAAAATGATTAAAATTCTTTGACAAATAACTATGTAAATCGCCTCCTTGTGCATATTTTAGTACTATCATATAAGTATTTGTCTTTTCATCTTTTGTAACTCCATAACACTCATTAATAAAATGGTTGGGAGTGTTGTGTTTCTTGTAAATCCTTTTATGTGCTTCTAGCTAATAATTTTTAATGTATAGTTTAATCTAATAGTTTAATAATTGGTAATTAATTACTCAGTAAATTTATTTACCTCTTTTAGTATTATTGGAATAACATTTTTCGAAATGTAAATACTTTTTAGCACTACTTTTTTATGATAATAATTACCATACCAATCGGCCGTATGTGTTTTTCCGAATCCTCCTTCAGCTAATAGTTTATCATTAAAAATTTTTTTATATGAAATACATTTAATACTGATTCCATCTTTTCTACAAGCATAAAGAAAATTCGCCAATTCTTTATTTCCGCATTTTTTTGTTAACTTTTCAATTTCTTTACTGTTGCTGTTTCTTGGTTTTTTGATTTGGAAAATTGTAAATTCAACTTTTTTCATTGTTAGGATTTAATAAAATCAAAGAAAAAATTCTTGACAGAATTTTGTAAAAAACAAAAATCGAAAAATTTTCCCCTTTTATCAAAGAAAAATTTTCCGTTTTTATTCCTTTTTGTTTGGCTAATTATATCAAAAATTTTCGTTTCATCTATCCGTTTAAATATTAATATTTGGTATGTGTCTCATGCATCATCAATTGTTGACCGCATAAAGTTTTTCTTAATTCGTTATTAATGAATTTATTGTGAAAACAAAGAATACAATCTTTAACATATTTTCGATATTGTAAAATTTCTTTGAATAAAACTATTTAGTCTAATTTTAGAAATTATCTGCATTTGATTTCCAGGTCTGGTTAGCGCACGCCGAATCCCGCCGATCAAATAAAATTTATTTTTCCTCAGATAATAAAAATCTTCTCCAAAAAATCTATTATTCAAACTCATTGTTACGGCCAAAAGTAAGACTTTTCATACTGTTGGAACACAATTTTTCGTGACCCTTATATACTAATACGGGATTTTTCTATATAGGTATAAATATGTTCCTCATTAAATTGGTTTTTTATATATACATCAAAAACATATTTAGCAGATCATCACTCGAAAAATTTATTACGCTTATACCCATGTATAAAAAGGCAGCTCATTTAAAAAATATAATTCTACTTTATTGTAACTAATTAATAAAACCAATGCTCTGTAAACAATGAGCTTGCAACAATTTTTGAAGGAAAAATAAAGGAAGTTAATTATTGTTTCAGATAATTCTCTGCCTTAGTTTTTACCGCCAAGTCCTTGGAGTTTTATTCTAAAAAAAATTACAACTAGAATTTATATACTGTTTTTATTTTTTATATATAGTTCACTTGAATATACTCGGTTAAAAAACTTTGTTAATTGGTACATTAATATAAATATTTTACAATATTATTATGTTTATTTTTATTAATAAATTTATTTTAAAATGAAAAAAAATTTTAACTTGTATTATTGTTATTATCACTATCACGTTATCATTTATTTATATAATGAAAGAGCGGAAATTTTTATTTTGCATTGGCCATTCAAATTTAGAGCAGTGATGTCAGCCGATAGAAAACCTTAGCCGGCTAAGAACTTAATTAATCCCAGTTGATGAAAAACCTTTTCAGATGGTACTAAGCTCGCCGGTATTACTACTACTACTATCGTTATTATTATTGCTATTATTTACTATTGTTATTATAATATCTCGCTTTTAATGGTTTAAACTATTTGTTTTATTCGTTATAAATTTAAGTATTCGAAAGTTTTATTCAAATAGAACGAATAATAAGCCGGAAATGATTTACTGAAAATTATAGTTACACGAAAAGAAAATCGGAAAAACTGATCAAGAATTCAATTTCATATTGTTACTTATCACTGTAATAAACGAATAAAATAATTGACTCATGGAAAATATCTCAAACACGGAGAAGTACATACTTCAACATTCTAAAATGTAATAGACCTTTAATTTTCAGATTTAATTTTAAACGAAATAACTTGAAAATAATTCTATAGAGAATGCATTTAATTAGAATAAATTAGGATTTCAAAGAAATCAAAGAATTAGATATGTATAAATAACGTTGTAATTTTCTTAACTTTATGTATCATTGTTATCATCTTTATCATCATCATCATCATCATCATCATCATCATCATCATCATCATCATCATCATCATCATCACCATTAATCAATCATTATATATCATCAATTATCATCATATAATAATCATTTAATAAATAACAAACTGCCCTTGAACTTGACCTTGACCTTGTTGTTGTCTTTGAATATTATATTCTCATATTATAATAAATCTATCTAACAATAAATTTATATTAATTCAGTACATAATTATTCTCTTATTTTATATTTGTCTCTTTTTTTTTATTATTTTATTTCTTTTCTTTTAATGAAGTAATATTTAATAAATTTTATTAGTGAGGTTTGGGAAACTTATCTGACTTGAGTAGGGAGTAACAGCCAAGAATAGCACCACCAAGAAACGTGATCAGGATATAGTGTGAAATCTAAAGAAGATATTGTTTAGTATTGCTTAGCAAGAAATTGTTTAATGATAGTGAAAGATAGTTTTGAAAGCGTAAATATACATTCGCGGAAATTATTGTTACGATTTAGTATAAATAGATTGGAGTTAACATTATTGATGAATCATCATCTTCTAGATCTCATATTTTGGAGACGACTACAGAACACGATCCCACAGTTTCCAAACTCTCCTATGAGATTTATATTTTTTTACAACATATAAAACTACTCTTCCCGAAGAAAGTTCTAATCTGTAAACATTCATAAATCCTTGCAAATTTTCTAATTTTATAAAGTGATGCTGCTGTTACCTGTAATTCTTTAAATGAATAATTACAATTCTTTCTGGAATGCGTGATTTTTAATTGCACCCCAAACTTTTAATATAGTTAACTCATAGCGATATTTGGGATAAAATAATTATTTTATTTCCACTATCCCTTCTAATTGTGATTTTTATGACAAGAAATCAGGTTCCAATGATAAAGATTGATCTAAACAATCAACAACTTCAGAAATCTGTATATGATTTTTACACTCCTTACATCTTTTTAATGCAATTTTCATACCATAATTATTTTTTTAAGAAAAATTTTAAATTGGTAATCATTCACTTGATGATACACTCTGAATAAACAAATAAATATTAATTCATTCTCTTTTAAATAAATTTTCTTTTGTATATCAGTATTAAAAATTTCGGCGAGTGGTGTAACACATGATGTCTTTAGATGATTCACATCATATACAGTTTTTCCCAAGATAGACAATTTCATGTCCTCGTGCATGAATCATTAACATTATAAGGCCCCGAAGATAATCAACCAACATGATTTTGTGCGATTTAACAGAACTATATAGAAAAATCAAAATAACTAATACTACCAGACCACTGAAGCAAAACAATATATTGATGACTATAGTAATAGTTGACTCCACAATTGCAATTGATTACTATTACGAGAAGAAAGTTTTAAACCCGTAATTTCGTAAATAATAATTTCAGTTACCGTAAAGATAATCAAATGTGTGATTGTTAAAGTAAATTTCAGATACAGCGGCAGTTTAAATAGAAGTGGTTTCAGTTAATAATAAAGGTAAAAATTTATAGCTTAACATTCAGAAAGCCAAAGTTTAACCAGTATCTATACAACAGCTTCGACTGAATCGTGGGTTGTTATTAGCTTGGCGAAAAAATAGGTAAGTGGTGTAAAAATTTGATTAATCTTTAAATATTTTTGAAAATAACCCACCGACTTATTTGGTTTACATCTTTAATCTTAATTATGGGATAGCAAATTATGTTACGGAATTATGATAGGCAAAATAATTACTATATATTTGCGGAATTTAACTATTAATTACGAAACTTTTATTTACAATCACGGTTTTTCCATTTGTATTTTCGGAACTAACTATACTGATGACTCAATTACCGACCACATCCCTTTTTTCAAGTGGGATAATGTATGCCACAATGCTGTTGGATGGTCATATGGAGCACAATATTATAATATATATGCTCCAACAGAAAAAACCAATTGGTGGTGTGAAATTAGCCAAAACTAGAGTTTCGAAAATCAAAAAATTTTGACTTTCTTCTCTTCAAAATAGTTTTGGCAACCAACACTAGTGCAAATACAAAACTTCATCTCTTTCATTATTCCACATGATCGAGTCTTTTAAAAGATATTTTTTTCTGACAGCATTTTTTCCAACTCTTCCCAATGATACAATTTGTGTAAATTAAAATGTGTTTCAATGCAATTTTTTTAATTGTTTTTTTAGTTGTATATTTACAGTTAATTGTCTTTTTAAAATAAATAATAATAAAAATAAATGTTCCTATTTAAATAGTACCATGTTTTCGTAAGATGTTGCCTATTCTCGGGGTTTTCGCAGAAAACCCTATGATACTTAGGTTTTTAGAAGTTGTGGGTGATGTTGGTGGTGGTTAGCGGAATATATGCCATAAAGTCCACCCCTGCCATCAATTTTTTCATCAAACCCTAGTCCAGCTATAAATTAAAAATTAACAAATTAGATGAAATCATAAAATTTAAATAATAAATAAATGAACAAACAGATCAATTTCTTACCACTAGCAACAAAAGCTGCTGATATACATAAATTAAAAATCGTTGAATCATGTGTTGTACTTGTTGAATTAATTTTTAAAAATGGACATTTATTTGATGTTGGATTGTTTTTATATTCATTGCTACCAATCGTTTTTCTTTTTGATTCAGCTGATTTGATAGTCTCCTTGTTGCATTTACTGTTTGAAAGTTGCCTACGCAATAGCTTCTCGATTTGACTTGCAGTTGGTCTTTTCTTGGGATCAGAATCCCAGCATTGCTTCATCAAATCGGCATAAAAATTTGGTGTATCGCTGGTTATATCTGGTCTTTTTCCTTCAACAATTTCAATTACAAGATCAATATTATGTGATCTATCATCAAATGGCTCCTTACCAGAAGTATAAACCCACATTATCATCCCAAAGCTATATACATCAGATTCTTTCGTATATGGTTTTCCAGATAATACCTCAGGAGCCAAGTATGGAATAACACCATAAACTTCATTGTTTTCTTTGACTGGTTCACATAATCCTAAATCTGCTATTTTGCTTTTCTTTTTCTCGTCTATCAAAATATTGCGGCTATGCAAGTCATGATGCACAAAATCTTTAGAATGTATTCTATTTAACCTGATGAAAAATAAAGATTATTTGTTAATTTATCATAAAAAATTTACAAAAATAATTTACAAAAAGTCAAAATTACCCAATCGAAATATTCAAAAGTGATTCTAATTTATCTTTCCAGTAAAAGTTATTAAAATTTTTTGACAAATAATTATGTAAATCACCTCCTTGTGCATATTTAAGTACTATCATATAAGTATTTTTCTTTTCATCTTTTGTAATTCCATAACACTCGTTAATAGAATGGTTGTAAATTTTTTTATGTGCTTCTAGCTAATAATTTCGATAGTTCAATAATTTAATCAATTAAGTAAATTACTAGGCAAATATTCTAAAATTCAAAGGTTTATTTACCTCTTTTAATATTAGTGGAATAGCATTTTTTGAGTCGTATACGCTTTTCAGTACTACTTTTTTATTAAAAAATTTATAATACCAATCGGCAGTATGTATGATTCCAAATCCTCCTTCAGCCAACAATTCAACATTATAAAATTCTTTATATGAAATCCATTTAATCTTGATCCTATCCTTTCTACAGTTATAAAGAAAACTTGCCAATTTTTTATCTCCGCATTGCTTCGTTAAATTTTTGATTTTATTACTGTTGCTGCTGCCTTCGCCTACTTTGTCGTGGGGTTTGAAGTACATTTTTCATTGTGTCAAGATTTAATAAAAAAAAAAAATAAATTTTAAATAAAATTTTTTCAAAAAAAAAAAGAATGGTATTTATTCAAGTTGAAAAATTTTCCGCTTTTTTAATTCCTTACTTTGATTGGCTAATTTTAATTATTCAAAATTTTCCGATAGTGTGTAACGAAAATAACGGCGGTGACAAAAAGTTGCATATTGAAAGTGGGCTTGCACGACAATGCATAATTAAATAAGTTTAGATTCATTTGAAATAAAAAAAAATATGTTTGCCAATTTTTTGTTCTAACACAAAAATTATAATTATACAAAAAAAACTATATCAGATTGTAGCTTAAGTTCTGAAGATAGAAATTATATGCTCATCTATTTTCTAGAACTTTGTCAATTAAAAATAAAAGAAATCCGAATATTTTTGAAAAAAAAGGTATATAAAACCTTGGATCAGACAGCCATTAACCTGCTTATGTTCAATAGTACTCTCTCTTTAGGCATTTTGAAATTGTATTCAACGGTATGAAAGTGAGTATTCACTTCCTGATGTATTTTTCCTTGATGAATGAGCTATTGTCAGGCAGTGATGTAAATAACGTGAAATATTTTGAAGTTAAGAAATAAATAAGCTGGTGGAGATATGCGAGTAATAAACAGCACATTGTTATGCAAAATAATTTTGTGCCATTATTTTCGTTACACATTGTATCATTAACCAGTTGAAAATTTTCCTTCGACTTTATTATTATGAAATCTTCTTTAACTCAATTGAATATTAATATATTTTCGATATCTATAAAATTTCTTTTATTAAATCTAAGTAAATTTACATTTTTATCCTAGAGTTAAAATAAAAAATATTAAAAAAAACTTCACATTCTATAATTAAAGTTGCATAGTATATAGTAGCTTTAAATTTATTTCCTTATAATAAAAAAACAGTAAAAAAATTTTTTCCTCAGATAAAAATCTATATAATAATAACAAAATTTTTCCCAAAAATCTTATTATATCCATTACATGAACTCTTTTTTCATGTCTTATTCATTGTTATGACCAAAAAGAAGACCATTCATACACAATTTTGCGTGACATCTCTATATACTAATGCGGGAGGTATAAATATTTCTCCCATTAAAATTGGTTTTTATATATGGGGTTAATTTCGTAAACAACTTCTATTGCTCTTTGAACACGAGATAATACTACCTTATTCAGATGAAGTTTAAAGGTATTTTTTCCTTCAGAAAATTTCAGATCCTCTCGACTCACTATAATAATTCTTGAAATATTTATATATCAAAAACATATTTTTCAGAGATCATCAATCGAAAAGTTTATTATACCTCTTTTTTGCTAGAAGCCTCATGCATTATCGGCGGCCCACATTATAAAAAGTAAGTTCAGTTAAAAAATATAATTATATACTTTATTGTAATTAACTAATAAAATCAATGTTCTGTGAACAATTATCTAACAAAAGTTCTTAAAGGAAAATTAATTATTGATTTCCCGTCCAACTTTTTAACGCCAATTCCTTGCAACTTTTATATACCTCATATTAACATGATAATAAATAAACGAACAAAAGGAATTATTGATTGCAGAGCTGTGCGTCGCAGATCAGACGGATAAATTTTAAAATGAAAATAAATGTGATTGAACGACAAATGATAAACAACAAAGAACAACAAAGAACAAAGAAAAAATCAAGAATACAAGTGGTCTAAATAGTGGTCGTTTACTTTAAGCTCACGCTTAGATGGATTGAAGATAAGAAAACATTAATCATTGTTTAATCCATATTTCGATTACCTCATCTTCTTCTATTGTTGTAGTTCGAAACTCCTAGTTAACATCTTAATAGAGTGGCAACACCACACATTGATAAATTTTTATTTATTATCCATCAATTAATCACAATACGCACATGTTCCTTGACATTTTCCATCACGAATCTTCCCGTGATTCGAAATATTATGTTGGCGTCAATTGTTGATACTAAAAAATCCGGGTCCACGAACCTTTGAATATCATTTGCTTAAGTCTGTCATCCTCAATGTCAACGCTGCCTCCGATTGATTTATTGTAGATTTGTCATTTTTGATAAACAAAAAGTGGTCAAGGTTGAACCTGTTGTGATAAAAAATCACATGGGGATAGGGCTGGAAATAGTACTTTAAAAATCCGGAAATATTTTTAACTTTTTCAGACCTACTTTCCAGACCTGATTGGATCATTTCCTTTTATATATATTCCATTATAAATAAAAAAAAAGATCTTTTTATATCCGGTTTAAGATGAGTTGAGATATAATGATTCAAAAAAATAGAAACATTATCAATTATTCATTGCATGTGGAACATCAACATTAACACATACAATTAATATTAACATCGCTACCTTTGTTATTATTATCAATCAAATCCAACAAATCCAATAAATTCACAGAAAAAAATGCTTCGTCTGGACAACAATAGACCAATGTTAACATCAGTAAAGGAGAAATAAAAAAAGTATAATCTCTAATCACTATTTTCCTTCTGCTAAATACACTCAACAAATCTCTGTGATTTCCAAGCTAATACTAACGGTATATACCAGGCTAGCAACGTAAAGGGACTCGAATCCTAATTTAGTAATAATTGTCTTGACTAAAATTCTTAACGTATGACTAAATAGTTTATCCAGTTTAGCCAAGTGTCCATTGAATTACACGGCCAACCTTTTGGTATAAACGTCCAATCGTCTTCTACACGTGTGCTAGTTGCTCTGGCTATTCTTGTAAATATGCCATTTAGTACATTGCACAATGATGAAAATACATTTAGTATAGATGGTTTCGCAGTATAACCTTTTAAATAGTTTTCACATCATCATCGTTTAACGCTTTGTCAATTTCCATAACATTATGACCGATTGGCCGGATGCCTTTTTTGTTATTCTCAAAATAGGTCGCTGATAACCAAAATGTAGTTATTGCTGATTTTTTATTTGCTACGCTACAGAAGTAAAACAATCCTTCAAATGGGCACCCAAGATACCTCAACAACCAAAGTAATTTCCACTTAAATGATTCATACAAAGCCATTCCTATTACGGCTATGGCTGGAAAATACCTTAAAACGTACGGTGACACGATAATTTTTTTTTACGTTTTGCAGCTTATCTTATAAAAATGGATTTATTAGTACTCAAGTTGTATTAAAGCATGTCATCTTAAATTGCCTCCAAGTGATGCCTTAGGTGTAGTCACAAATACCTTAAATGGAGCATGTGTTAGGAACAAAAAGAACAAAAAAAAAGAAACAGAAATCAACCCCTCAATTATACTTTTACTGTAAGGCAAAAAAATGATATATATATTTTTTTGCGAAAATTTTAATTGTCTTTTAACATCGATAGTGATTGATATTTTAAAATGCTATACAAACAGTTTTAATAATGACTGTTATTTTTTTCGGCAATTATATATACAATTAATTTTAAAAAAATTTTTAAATAATAATTAATAAATAATAAAAATAAACGCTACTATTTATATAGTCCTGGAAACAAGCAACAATTTTTTAGCTGAAAAGCTACTTATTCCTAGAGGTTTTATTATAAAAAATAAAAATTGTTCGTAAAATTTTTTAATGTTGCCCATTTCCAATGTACCTGCGATTCGTTTAATAAAATTCTTTTTTGTAAACAATGTTGTTGGGGTTGTGTTTAAGTTTTTAGAAGTTTCTTCTATTTGTGAATAGTCGGCGGAATATAATCCATCAAATTCCAATCCCAATCCAACTATAAATTAAGAACTAATAAATTAGAATAAAATCATATTAAATAATAGATAAATGGGCAAACAGATCAATTTCTTACCTCTAGTAACAAAAGCTGTCGATATACATAAATTAACAATCGTTGAATCATGCGTTGGGCTTATTGAATTAATTTTTAAAAATGGACATTTATTTGATGTTGGATTGTTTTTATATTCATTGCTACCAATCGTTTTTCTTTTTGATTCAGCTGATTTGATAGTCTCCTTGTTGCATTTACTGTTTGAAAGTTGCCTACGCAATAGCTTCTCGATTTGACTTGCAGTTGGTCTTTTCTTGGGATCAGAATCCCAGCATTGCTTCATCAAATCGGCATAAAAATTTGGTGTATCGCTGGTTATATCTGGTCTTTTTCCTTCAACAATTTCAATTACAAGATCAATATTATGTGATCTATCATCAAATGGCTCCTTACCAGAAGTATAAACCCACATTATCATCCCAAAGCTATATACATCAGATTCTTTCGTATATGGTTTGCCAGATAATACCTCGGGTGCCAAGTATGGAATAACACCGTAAACTTTATTATTATTGGAATTATTTTCTTTGACCGGCTCACATAATCCTAAATCTGCTATTGTACTTTTCTCATCTTCATCTATCAAAATATTGCGGCTATGCAAGTCATGATGCACAAAATTTTTAGAATGAATTCTATTTAACCTGATGAAAATAAAGATTATTGATTAGTTTATCATAAAAAATTTACAAAAATAATTTACAAAAAGATCAATTTTACCCAATCGAAATATTCAAAAGTGATTCTAATTTATCTTTCCAGGAAAAATTATTAAAATTTTTTGACAAATAATTATGTAAATCACCTCCATGTGCATATTTAAGTACTATCATATAAGTATTTTTCTTTTCATCTTTTGTAATTCCATAACATTTGTTAATAAAGTGGTTGTGAGTGTTGTAAATTTTTTTATGCGCTTCTAGCTAATAATTTTTAATAATTATTAATAATTAATATATTAAATTACTCAATAAATATTCTAAAATTCAAAGGTTTATTTACCTCTTTTAATATTGGTGGAATATCATTTTGTAAAGTGCAAATGCATTTTAATACTACTTTTTTATGATCATGTTTATTATACCAATCGGCAGCATGTATTATTCCGAACCCTCCTTCAGCTAATGGTTTAACATTATAAATTTCTTCATGTGAAATCCATTTAATCTTGATTTCACCCTTTCTACAATCATAAAGAAATTTTGCCAGTTCTTTATCCCCGCATTGCTTTGCTAAATTTTCAATTTCTTTGCTATTGCTGTTGTCTTCACCTACTCGGTTTTTTGATTTGAAAAATTGCAAATTCAACATTTTTCATTGTTAAGATTTAATAATAAATATATTAAAGAATAAATTTTTGACAAAAAAAAAAATGCTATTTATCTATTATTTATTGGGTAAATTTTCCATTTTTAATTATTACAAATTTTCCGGCTAATAATATGTGACAAGGTTTGATCGCACAAAATTAGGGTTCATTGTCCATAACTTTAAATTTATTATGATAAAAAAAAAAATAGTAAACAAATTATTTTTCCTCAGATAAAGATCCATATAATAATAACAATAATATTATATCTGTTACTCTAATTCTTTTTGTTAATTCATTGTCATAACCAAAAGAAAGACTTTTGTAAACTTTCCTACAGTTGAAACACACTTTTGTGTGACCTCTATATACTATTTTTTGGCAAAAAGGAGGTAATAAGTCTCCCATCAATCGTCGAATTATTGAAAATTATGTAACACCGCGATCCTTAAATAGAGTGGCAAATTAAATTATTTTTGGGCGTTGTAGATCAACTATCTAATTAAATTATATGAGTTTATGTTACACACGGATGATGCTACTTATATATATATATTAATATTATAAATTAAATTTACTATACTATTTACTATATATAGTCGTCTGTGCTAAAAACAAATTCCGCATACTTATTATTACTGTGCATTAAAAACATTTCGTTATAATATCTATTATAATACATATATATATATATTAAAACATTTGCTATATAGAAAAATTTAAATTTAATTTTTATTTAATTTGATTTCCAGAAGCACCACATTCTTTATTATTACCAGCTTCATTTAAGACCGGAAGTTTTTTTACTAGTTCCAGTTATACTTGGAATATTTATTTGTGAGGAATAATCCTTAATAATGTACGTAAAATTTTCGGAAAGTTTATGCAATAGTAATATTAATATAGGAAAAATGCATTTTTACGTACATAGAAAAAACCTATAAATTTTATAAATAATGGAATTGTACTAAAAAACGTACTTACTGTAAGAAGTAAACGTACTTGATATACAGAATGCGCGTACTCGATGCAAGGAGTCAATGTGCTCGATGGAAGGAATAAACGTACTTGATGCAAGGAACAAATGTTTTACAATGAATCAAATATGCTCAATATACGCAAAGAGAATTTGAGTTAAGCTTCATAGTTTTATTTGTGACATAATAAGTAATTAGTGTAATAGTAATGAAAATCATAGGGAAATAAATCCTTGTTGACAATAATCAACAAAATAAAAATATGTCGTAATTGTTCCGGATAATAAAAAAATAAATTGTCTAAATTGTAATTAGAAGCTACCAACCCTCGATTCATAAATTTAAATCAAATTTCTCAACAACCTTTTGAGAGTGCATCTTCAAATAAAGATATGATTTTCAGACATCACTCAATAAAAAAAATCTGAACACGATGCTCAAAAATCTAAACTTGTCATAACACAAAGATTATACCAGACAAAAGAGTAGAAGTTCCAGGCATTTACATTCCAGATCCAATAACTGTAAATCCAAATTCATTAAAAAATGTTGAAATTGCATTAAAGCATATAGAAAGCATTACAGGAATCAAACGTAGATGGGTACCTATTGTATGTGATGGTGTACCTTATAATCTTGCATTGAATTGAAAATGATTTTCCTTGGCTAATTTTACTTCCTGGAGCTCTACACAAAAAAATGAATATGTTTAAAGCATTTGTAGAATTAAATCGGTTAAATTTTATTATTTGAAAAAAAAGAAATAAACTAATTGCCTATATTTTATATAAAGGGAAATAGATATTAAATCATTTGCCAAATGTCAAGATTGCAACAAACGAGAAAAACAATTACATTTTTTCAGAAGTGCATTGATTTTCATAAATCTTGGTACCCTTTATGTAACATTTATCATCATTTAATGGCTTCCGAGTTGATCTGGCCTTATGTTAAAAATGAAGAAAATCCAACTGTTGACAGTTATCTCGAATGATCCAGAATAGGGGTTGGCACCGTTAACTGTTTAACCGGTTAAGATATTTTTTTAACCGGTTAATTCTTTATTAACCAGTTAAGAAATATAGTCGAAGAGATTTCAAAATGATGTTAATAATATAATAGTTGTTGAGAGTAACACTATGTCTAAAGTTTCAACGAAAGATGCCGTAATTTCCTTTGAGATAGCTTTTAATTTTCTT